CTTGCCGCATCCTGACTTGCCTTAGAACTGTCAGTGCTAGGACTTGTCGTATTAGGGCTTGCTGTATCAGAACTTGCCATATCAGGACTTGTCGCATTAGGACTTGCCTTAGAACTGTCAGTGCCAGGACTTGTCGTATTAGGATTTGCTATATCAGAACTTGCTATACCAGGACTTGCCGCATCAGGACTTGCCGTACTTGAATTTACATTAGGAATAGCAAGGCTTGTTGCATCAGCCCCGTTACTTATCGTTTCTTGGTTATTATCTGTATTTTGGGCACTTACCAAAGCTATTCCCATCCACACCAAATAGACGACCACTATGATATTCTGAAAATATTTGAAAAATGTTTGTATTATTGTTTGTATAATATTTGTTATTATTCTTTATTTCAGAAATTTCTTTCCATAGACATACATACATACATAAACACTCACGCCTGTCACCCAGAGGGGTAGGCAGAGACTACGGACTTCCATTTGGCGCGATCCTGACACACCTCTCTCGCCTCTTTTACATCCATATATCTACGCATACACGCTCGTCGGTTATGGGTACTCCTAATCTGGCCCATTTTTAATGTATCGCCGATTTGGTCTTTCCATAGAGTGGGTTAGTAATTACAAAAAGTGCTTCTAAGCTAGAGTTAGTAAATAAATAAAATTAAAAAGTTATAAATATTATCTACTCTATCTACTTTATATTAACCAAAGCAGGTCTCGAGCCGATATGGACGTTGTTCTAGTCTCTCCTCTCTAGGCCTCAAGATAGGACAGCAATAGCGACTCCCTATCGCCGCCAGGAGGCTGTTAGAACTGTCCCGGATACGGCGCCATGCGGAGGCAAACCGTTTGCGCATGATAACAGGGAAACTGTCTATGCGAGCCTCAGCAAACATTGCCGAAGTGCTGCAGTACCAAGACAGCCCCATCAGCATTCTAAAGTCGTTATTATATTGGACGCGCAGGGTTGCAAGCGTCATCTGTGTATAACTCAACCCATAGACTGCAGGTGTAAACAGACTGATAGGCTCTGAAAAGAGTTTATTTAACTTCTAAATTACACCGTGCAAATCTACGGGCGAGCATATTTGCTCTCATATCTATAGCCCTGCGTTCACTCTCTATGTCAGCATCAATTGATATATTTTCAGTAACCAACTGTCCCAGGTATTTAAAACTTGTCACTCTTTTCAGTTGCACGCCTTCTACAGCAACAGTGGCAAAAATATAGCTCTTATTTTTTGATTTTAAAAATACGATCCCACTCTTCTTTTCTATTGTACCATAGGCCATGAGCTGCTGTATACTTCTCACAGATACTAAGTAATTTTCTCAGACCATTAATTGATGGGCTCAGCAGCACCAAATCGTAGGCGTAACTTAAGTTACTAGTATTCACAAAAAAAACCTTGTTAAAGTTTTTACAAATCTACATAACAATCTAAAGAAAAATTATTATATCATGAGCTAAATCGTTCTTAGAGTAGAAATATTTCTGTAACTAAAATATATCTCATTCAGACTTGTTAATTATTTCTTTGTAGGAACAATGGTTACGCTCTTCAAATTTATAAAGTATTCTGTGGTGTTGGCGGACTTTGCATGTCTTCGACACAGATATTATTTCACACATATGCAGGTTACCTTGCAAAGTTTTCCTTCACCGCTGAGCACATAATAAATCAGTTCTTAAAATTACATAGAACTATTTTAAAATTTACAGTACAGTACTGTGGTCGCTAATAAAATAACTTCTGAATAATGGCTCGCTAACTTCATCATAATCATTATCATCATTACAGCCCTTCACAAGTCCACTGCTGAACATAGACCTTCCCCAAAGAACGCCACAAAACATGGTCCTAAGCCACCTGCATCCATCGACTTCCTGCATCTTTTACCAGGTCATCATTCCATCTAGTGTAGGCTGCCCTACATTCCGCCTACCGTTTGCAAGGCTACAAGGCTGCCACTCGAGAACCATTCGTCTCCATCGGTTGTCAGTTCTTCGAACTATTTGGCAGGCCCATTGTCACTTCAGCTTATTAATGCGTAACTCACTAACTTAATAACTTATAAATAATTTCGAATTGAATTCTTCAAACATACCCGTATCCTCTGCTCCATGATGTGATCAGAATATAACTAATTAAGGAAAAACGATTTTTATAGTTTTCGTTATCGAAAAAGTCATTTACACAAATGATACAAAATTTATGATGACTTCAATCAAATTAAGTTATATTTTATAGCTTCGTTAATAGCAGAACATATCTAAACATTTTTCCAATTGATATAAGAAATGCTTGATCAATACGAAAATAAATGTTGAAATCATTTGTTTATATGTGTATGACATTAGAGTGACAAACGTGCCAATGATCTAGTTGTTGGTAAGTGCCTACTGCAGCCAAACTAAACTCAAACAAAGATCCCCACCAACTTCAACATCACAGGTGACAACAAATCATGACGACTAAGATAATACCTTTTGCTCTTGGTAGAGTCATACTGCAGCTATATTATGGCTACAGGACAAATGGGTCGGCTAGAACGGGGTAGAACACGCTCTCACATAATCCCAGCGTGAAATAGCAGCTTGATGGTGTTGTGTTTCGTACGGTGAGTGTAGAAAAACGGAGACACTTTTTACTGGAAACGAGGCATTCCATCATATACCTCACAGGTGACAACGCTTTTGCATTTAGATTCTTAATCAAGGATAGATGTAGATGTATATAGGCCACAGCATTCACTTACAATTAGGTGGACTGTGTGCTCGTTTGTCACACTAATTCCATATAAAAAAAAATATTTCGAAAATACCTACTTGACATAATACAGTCACACTGCAATATATTATAATAACTGCAACACTAATAGATCGGCTTGACAAGGGACAAAGGAGGGAGAGGAGGACTACGCTCGCACCAATATAAAATAGCAGCATACGGCTGCACTAAAAGTATCGGGAATGGAATATTTCCATTGTTCCTGTCATATTAAAATCTTTTTAATTGAAAACCCCTTGGTTTTAAAAATCGAACCATTCATTTATTTAAAAAAAGATTCTCGGTCTTATCACAAGGTTTTGTCAAACTTGTTTAGTCGTTGAGAAAATGGAATTGACTCGAGAAAATTCAAGAGCGATGATTTATTATGACATTCGAAGTGGTTTAACACAAAAACAGTGTGTTGACCGGATGATTTCTGCATTTGGTCATGAAGCCCCATCTAAAACCACAATTTATCGCTAGTTTGCTGAATTTCAACGTGGACGTGTCAAGCTCAGTGATGATCCCTATCAAGGTCGTCCAAAAACTGCTGTCACCCAAGAAAACGTTGATGCTGTGCGTAAGCTGATTGAGGGAGATCGACATGTGACATACCGCGAAATTCAGGCAACTTTAGACATTGGCATGAGTCAAATACAAATAATCTTGCATGAACAATTAGGTGTAAAAAGGTTGTTTTCCCGATGGATACCGCATTCGCTCTGTGAAGAGCAAAAAGCGGCTCGCGTTACTTGGTGCGTCAGAACTCTCGAAAGATTCCACGCAGGATCCTCAAATGCTGTATACAACATCGTATCAGGTGACGAATCCTGGATATATGCGTACGAACCCGAAACAAAAAACCAGTCACGAGTTGGGGAGTTCGAAAATGAGTTAAAGCCAACAAAAATTGTTCGTTCACGGAGTGTTGCAAAAAAAAATGGTGACCACGTTTGTCTCCAAAACCGGCCATGTTACGACTATTCCTCTTGAGGGACAAAGAACGGTTAATGCAGAATGGTATGCTAGCATTTGTTTGCCACAGGTCGTTTCTGAACTCCGTAAAGAGAACTGCAACCGCCGCATCATCCTCCATCACGACAATGCGAGTTCTCACACCGCATACAGAACAAAAGTGTTTTTAGAGCAAGAAAACATAGAATTATTAGACCATCCGCCGTACAGCCCCGACCTAAGCCCTAATGATTTCTATACTGTCCCAAAAATAAAGAATAAATTGCGTGGACAGAGATTTTCATCACCTGAAGAAGCTGTGGACGCCTCCAAAACGGCCATTTTGGAGACACCAACTTTCGAATGGAATGGTTGCTTCAATGATTGGTTCCATCGTATGGAAAAATGTGTCAAATTTCGCGGAGAATACTTCGAAAAGCAATAAATACATTCTTAAATAGTAATGTTGTGTCACTTCCTTGATTCCCGAAATTTTCAGTGCCGGCCTTACAATACAATGCAATTGCTTCTGTGCACCGAACAGAATACCTTTTGAAATGGTAACAAAGCTTTCCATCTTCGTCCTTAGGTGTGACGCATCCGCATTTTGGTGTTAACAGAGGATAGATGTACCGACCGACTGCCGACTCTGCTACTCATTCCTGCAGCATACATTTACTTTGTCCGATGAAAATAAAGAAGAATATATACGTGGTAAAGCCATATTATAACTTTATTATAATTTTAGCATGAAGGGGTTGGCTTGACTGGGGTAGGGCCACGCTCTCACAGGATACCAGCAATAAATAGCAGCTTAATGTTACTGTGTTTCGTATGGAGAGTGAAGAAGAACCGGAGACCCTTTTTACTGGAAGGACTTAGTCTTCAGAGGTGGCAACGCGTCTGCATTTTGATTTGATTCTCAAATGAGCATAAATGTAGGTCTATGGGCCACAGCACCTAATTACCATCACGTAGACTGAGTGCTCTTTTGTCACCCTTATTCTAAAAAATTAAAGCACTAACTATTAAGAAAAAAAAGAAACGTTTGTGAAAGGTGTGATTTATTCTGTCTTATTAATAAAAATAATATGTACAAATATTAACAAAAATATGCTTAAAATAAATTGACCCATTATACTTAGTGTCCAGTTTCCATAGCCAGTTTTCGTTTACAGCAAAAAAAATACATAAACAAATAGTAGTATTTATTACAGTATCAAGAATGCGAATCGGGTGTTTATTTAAGAAAAAATCACAAAAAATATTATTGGCCTCTCAGCCTAGTTGCATTAGTAAATCGTATTTTGCAATCAGCGATGGCCATATTGGGTGTCAAAAAGTCAGTCACTCTCTTCACTGCTGGTGGAACAGGACGATCGAATGGGAACCCCATGGCTCGTCGGTCAGGATACAGGCGGTCACGAAGCCCACAATACGATGCAGCGTCGTTGCAAGACCCAACAAGATCTTGTTTCACCTATTAAAATACAAATATATATTATCTCGCAATCGCCCTGGCTTCGCCTGGTTTCGCCTAGCTCTTCCATTAATCCATTAATGTGACATTGATTTAAGATAATCAAAGGCAATTATTAATTTATGAATTTTTCATTTTAATACAAAAAAGTATCCTATTTCGGATAAAATATAGGCTTAGATCACTCCTGGAAATTATTTCTAGCTGCAGCGGTGACAAAAATTCACAGAACAGTTCCTTTAGGTACATCACGGCACGTGGACCCCACGAACCGACAGTTTCTACAGCAAATGACGCAAATAATAGTCATCTCTAAGAAACTCAAATTTATTACATTCAATAATATATTTAAAAAACTTACACCATCATCAGCCCAGTTGGAAACCATTACGAAGAGAATCATCGGGTATCCATTTTTCGTGCCCTTGGGCAGAAGCATGTGATGAGGCCAGCCGCAGCCGCAAAAGTCGAACTCGGCGGCTTCAGCGGAACCCGGTTCGCCGGGTCTGTCACTCTGCCTTTGGAAGGTGCGCTCAAACGGAACGGTTACTGATGAGTCCACACTGCGACGTCGGATTGTGTTCTTTCCAGGACGTACTGTAAAAGAAAAATAAATCGATTAAAAATATTGTTGCGCGCCACTATTAATGTCTTGTACATGGCAACACTAGTATCGAGTAGCAGAACTAGGAGAGTCAAGATCCTTCTAGAAATTTCGGGACCGATATGTACTCGAACATTCTAGATGTTTCTACAGTAGAAGGTTCTGGAAACTATCTGAGGCCCTATATAAGGCCGGTATAGACAACGAACGAGTCGGTATTGAATTAGCGATAAAAGCGAATACTTCGGAGCGATACAACTGCGAACTTAAATGATCAGTAGTACAATTGTGTTTTATTATTAGTGTGGTTTAAGTTGTAATTAGTGCTCTGTAATTAAAGTGTCAATTTTGGTAATTTAATCGGCAGTTTATAATTGTCTTGAACCATAAGCTCGTAACAATATAAACCGTCATCAACTGTTGTAGGATTTCAAACTTTGAAAATATCTTAGTAATATACTGTCTATATATTAACTTTCGTTATATGTTTTGAAAAAAAAAATCATTAAAACTATTCCCAAAAATATTGTGTTAGGTTGTGTAAACGTAAATAAGTGTATTTATTAAGTAGGTAGGTGAAGTGTAGGGCGATTCCCCACTAGATGGAGTGATGAACTGGTAAAACATGCAGGAAGTCGATGGATGCAGGTGGCTCAGCACCGTGTTTTGTGGCATTCTTTGGGGGAGGCCTATGTTCAGCAGTGGACTTATGAAGGGCTGTAATGATGATGATGATGATGATTCAGTAAGTACCTAGGCATTACTAAAACAGTAAGATTTAAGAATACAACTAAGCACACCGTTTATATAGAAACTGCAAGGCCTCCGGTGTAGGCAAGAAAGAGTACGTCAATTGCCATCCGAATAAAACAAAAGGGTTAGGAAGGACTCGATGTCATATATGCGGTAGGTATCTGGCGACTGTCGAAAAACCGATGGTCGAGTCCGTTGCACATAAAAATAATGGGGAAATACGCAGGAATATCGATGCCTTAACCTTATAGAAACCCAACGGATATCCTGTAACACGGTTGCATCTCACTTTTCTATTAGATTGCAGAATTGACAATTGCATGTAGACCCTACTTTCTTCTTATTAATCAACTTCAAAAGAGATTTAACGTGGTAGAGCCACACTGCAGCTATATTATGGTTGTAGCACGAATAGATCGGTTCGACCGGGGTAGGACCACGCTCTCACAGCATACTATCGTAAAATAGCAGCTTAATGCTGCTGTGTTTCGTATGGTGAGTGTAGAGACTCAGAGACCCTTTTTACTGGAAAAGGGGCATTCCATCTTAGTCCTCACGGGTGACAATGCATCTTCATTTTGATTCGTAATCGAAGATAGATGTAGATGTCTATGGGCCACAGCAACCACTAACCATCAGGTGGACTGTGTGCTCGTTTGTCACCCTTATCCTATAAAAAAAAACTTCTTCTTCTTCATCGGCTTATTAAAGGCCTGACGGCTCATAAAACAACTGCTAAGCAGCTCTTGGAGCTAGATAGGATTTGTGATAATAGTGACGCTTGGGTAGCGCAGCGCACATTACCAGACGTCACACAACTTTTACGATAGATAACCCGTACCTTCAGGCAAAAACGAGTTGGTTAAACCCCCATAAAATCTTTTTCCCAACTCCCACACTGGCCTCTTATCAGACCTATTAAATGGTTATTTGAAGATAACAATCTACTTCATAATTCAGTATACTCGTAAGAAGCTAATGACCGCGTAGAGGCACTGTAAGAATATTCGCTACCCGATATCTTTATGTGGATGTCGTAAGAAGCGACAAAGAGAAACACGCCAGGAGATGGGCAGCATCGTCTTCCTGATAATAACTTAGAACCATAAAAAAACTACAATTACCAACCCGCCTGCCAAGCATAGCAACGATGGCAAAATCCTCCTTGATGAGGCAATCTACGGAGAAGACCTATGTTCAGTAGTGGACTTTTTTTATAGGCTGTAATGGTAACTTACTAACCTAATTCAGCATAACGTTGATAATATATTTCATTGTATTATACTTACGGCCCTGTGAAAACTTGTCCAGCTCAATCATGAGCCTCCTTTGTTCGTTGAATGGAAGCGGAGTTCCTTTTTCATCAGTAGTAGGTGCCAAAAATATGCGGACTGTGCCCATTGCGTTTTTGCCTGTTGTGTTTTCAACTTCGATTCTGTTTACACATAAAGTTATGGATTAATTAAATTTAAATCCTATGAATATAGCAATAAGATACTAGACACTATTCTAAACACAAGAAGTAGAATGAGTTTTTTTTTATATTTTTATAGAATAAGGGTGACAAACTAGCACACAGCCCACCTGATGATAAGTGGACGCTGTAGCCCATAGACATCTTCACCTATTCTCGATTAAGAATTGAAATGCAGATGCGTCACCCCTGAGGATTAAAATGAACTGCCTCGTTGCCAGTAATTTTTTTCGGCAACCCTTTCCTCCGGTTCTACACTCACCATACGAAATACAGTAGTATTAAGCTGATATTTCACGATGGTACTCTGTAGGAGGGTGTTGCTTCCCTAGTCGTGCTAACCCATTCGTGCTACAACCATAAAATAGCTGCTTTAAAAAGACTCTTATCTAGATCATCCAGTATCGAGATACTTACACGTAATCAAACTCATCGTGTTGAAGATGCGTAAAACGCGCCAGCACGCTGCCACGTGGTGTGAAGTCCAACCCACGGCCCAGCTCCAGCGTACTCTGCTCCCATTGGGTCGCGAATGTGTTCCTACCCGCTTTACCATCAACGGCTATAGATGAAACGCGAATTCCCGGGAACTCCAACTGAAATCAATTACTATTTTAAGCGATTTCTTGATTAAAAGTAAAATGATAACCTATAATATGGAGTCGTCCCTCTCACAGAAAAACTGTTACCAACAATTTGTCTCTCATTATTGAAAACTAGCAACCCGCTCTTGTTTCACGTGTGAAGGATCTATTATTGCGGCATTTTTTAGACAATCAAAGGTCAATCATCAATTTAAGAATTTTTCGTTTTATTAAAAAAATAACTTCCAAGTTTTTGGGCTAAAATATAGCCTAGATAACTCCTTGCATTGCTCTTCATTTATTCGTGAACTTTCATTGCAATAAGTTTAGCCATTCCTGAGATCAGCCCGAACAGACAGACAGACAGACAATAATTATAAAATTGTTTTTTTTGTCTTAATGACATTCAAATAACCCCCTTAGCTTTTTATTTATGTAGAGCTGTTATTTTCATATCACAGATAGATTATATAGTATAATTGAACAGATCAGCTAATGAACCATAAAGAGTTCGCTGGGGTGCTCCAGTGCGTGTTAGCAGACATCGCATTTTCACATCATATTTCCGAAACATTTATCTTATTTCTAACAGTAAATCCGAATAAACCTAATTATTTATTTCCTTCAACACGCAATTGCCTCGCGTGATACACTCTTTTGTGTTCTAAAATTCGCTAGCAATTAGGCCTCCGCGCTACTGCAGTGCGTGTATTTTTATTCATTAAACATGCAGGCTATTATTTATTCTGCGATGCAGGTTCCTTTGCAACGTTTTTCTTCACTGTGGGATGAAGATGCTTATGGGAGATGAAGCTGTTCACGTCCGTACGAATTACTTGAATCCTGATTTCCTACAGGTATCCCCTGGGTAGTGCTAAACGATCAATACTATAAACTGTTGGTAGGTTGGTCCTCTACTAGTGAAAGGCCCGGCCGAGGGTTAGTTACCACCCACCTGGCAAAGACTTACCGCCAAATGATGCAAATCGTGTTCCGGTATGATGTTAGGTGGAACCCATTTCTTAGGGAGAATGGGTCTGGACAGTTGCGTTGCGCATACGAACCAGTTGCGACGCGGCCGTTACTAAGTGTCAGGTGCCTGGTTATGGTAGTTAGTGGGATCCGAAGCACGATTGCACCGCTGGCCGACCGTAGATAGTTGGGGGCCAAATTAATGAGCCAGCCACTCATGAAAGGCTGCCCCGCCGCATGTGATGTCAGGTCAGGGGGTCAGATGCGTGCTAAGAGGCTCATTAGTGACTTTGATTTGGTTGGAACCAATCTTGTCAGCCTCGAGTACAGGCGCAGAGTAGCCAGTCTCTCGGTATTCTATAGGATGCATTTCAGTGAGTGTGCGCAGGAATTACACGCTTTAATTCCTCCCTCTTCTTTCCACCATCGGACAACCAGGCGGTCGGCGGGTCTTCATCCCTTTGTTGTCGATATTCCACGCATTAGAACCAAACGGTTTGCTTCGTCTTTTGTAATGCAAAGGAGTGGAATAATTTGCCGGCGTCTATCTTTCAGTCCGAATACAATCTGGGCGTCTTCAAGGCAAGTCTCAATTAGTGCGATTTACCATATAGAGCTGCATCACCACTTACCACCAGGTGGTATTGTGGTCAAGCACTGGCTTATAATAAGTAAAAAATAAACTGCCGTACATGTGGTAAAATTGGCACTTAAAACTGCAATTAACAATTTTTTTTGTACAGTGTGATAAATTACGAGCGCTTATCCCCTGCGCTACCACAGCTACCACCTCTTGGTGCTAAGTGCAAAAATAAAATCGCTAAGAATTTTACTGGCAACTAGAAATATTTGTAATCAACTTACCTTGTCTTTGCCGTAAGGAGGTAACTTATTTTTGTATAAAACAAATACATCATCCACAAATCCATGCCAGCGGTAGAACAAGGGGTCACGCATTGTCGTTGCTGGATCACCCATGACACCAAATTGCTCCTGAAAATATTCTAATTAGTTAACCATTCTTGATGCCTAGGCCGCACACCTCGCAATATCGCGAATATGAAAAAAAAAATATATAGGAAGATATTTTTTTTTATTCCTTTATAATATATATTTTTTTAGAAATATATATATATATATATATATATATATATATATATATATATATATGTTGTATTTGTAAATCATTAAATGAACTAAGAAAATACCAAGTGGTGTCTAAAAAAAAAGGTAAAACCCTATAATTTTATCCTGTGCAGATGTTTACTGTCCGTTTAAACTTACCGCCGTGACCGAAATTCGATCTAGAGAACCTAATCTCTACTAAATATTACAAGCTTGATCTCATACTCACCAGATTGCGATGGTCAGGATCGTGAGCGTATGACATAAATATGTGTCCCATATTATGTAAATCACCGTAGTAAGGTCGGTTGGGACTGATGATGGACGACTCCATTAAATTCCCTAATACGTCAATTCCCGTCTCATCGTCAAGTGGCATTTGACGTCCGTTCGGCTGTAAGAATAACAGGTGGATTTATTAAGACTCTTTTCTCACCTAGGAGTTGGTGTATACACCACCCTTTTACCTATTTCTGCTGGCACTTTTTTTTATAGGATAGGGTGACAAACGAGCACACAGTCCACCTGATGGTTAGTGGTTGCTGTGACCCGTAGACATCCACATCTATCCTCAATAAAGAATCAAAATGCAGATGCGTTGTCACCTGTAAAATGGAATGCCTCTTTTCCAGTGAAAAGTGTCTCTGGGTCTCTACAGTCACCATACGAAACACAGCAGTGTTAAGCTGCTATTTTACACTGGTATTCAGTGAGAGCGTGGTCCTTCCCCGGTCAAGCCGACCCATTCGTGCTACAACTATATTTCTAATATAGCTGCAGCGTGGCTCTACCACGTAAAAAACTGCTATGCTATGTTATTATAGAGCCAGAATAATTACAGACTGTGAGTCATTCGCATCAACGCATCTGTAGTCTCTTTGTTTGAATTTGATTGTATATGTACATTAAGTTTGGGTCCCGGGACGTCACGTGTCTCGAAGTCCCGGGACTTTTCGTAATTTTAATTGTCACAACAATTTTGACAATCTTGTCTCGTCTCGAGTCTCGACCCGAAAGTCCCGGGACTCGAGACGAGACAAGATTGTCGAAATTGTTATGTAATCATATTTATTTTCAAATAATGGAAGGAGCCTAGAGTCATGTGTTAGTTTAATGAATAATTACTTGGTTTACTACGTAACTACTGAGTACGCAACGCAATAGATTAAACAAATATATGATTATGAGAATTAACAATGAGATTATGAACAATGATTAGATACTAGAATTACTAGATAATAGTAAAGTTATTAAAAATTAGTATGATTTTTAACTAAGTTAAATCTTATAGTTATGAAAAGAATAACTAAGATTTAACTGGTTAAAAGTGCATCAGTGTGTGACTAAAAGAAATAAACAAAGCAATTATAAAGACTGAAATTAACGTTAAAGTTATTTAATTTTCTGTTTAATTGTTTAATAAATGTTGATTTTTTCAAAAAATTGCCTCTTTTTAATACGTTTCACCAGAAATTCATCATCATCATCATCATTACAGCCCTTCACAAGTCCACTGCTGAACATAGGCCTCCCCCAAGGAATGCTACAAAGCACGGTCCTGAGCCACCTGCATCCATCGACTTCCTGCATGTCTTACCAGGTCATCACTCCATCTAGGGGGGGAGTCGCCCTACACTTCGCTTTTTAAGTTTATCACGTAGAGAAACCCGAGCATAGCCCTCTCCATAGCTAGCTTGAGCTTCATTATACGGCCAGCAGAAACTAACTCAATTAAAATTCTTCAAAAATCCATGTTTAAAAAAAACAAAAAGTTTTTTATTAAAAATCTCGAAGTCCTGGGAATTCCCGGGACTTCGATTATAGGCTGTCCCGTGTCCCGGGACTCTGAAATTGTCGGGAATTCCCAAACCATAATGTCCATGTACTGTAATAACCCTTGACCGTCAAGTAGACTAAGTTCTTTTGTCACTTTTTCGAAGTTTTGGGAAGCGTGTTAATGTTTATTGTTGCTATAGCTACATATTACATGTTAACTACTAGATCCTTTTACTAAAGATCAGAATAAACACAAAGTCTATGAATCAGTTAATCAATAACCTATTAATCAAAAGTCAAAACAATGAATGAGTTAATTCCAAACAAAAGAAATCTATCCTTATTTGTATAAAACATACCATGATAAAAAAGAGATTAAAATTTTTAATTAACGAGCTATTTCAAATATAAAACCAACCAGAAGGATAGATTTTCTCTCGATGGCCTGAAGTATACGCTCTCTCCAAGTTTCCATCTCCGACACGTCGCTTCTGATTTGGTCTACCGGCCTATCAAGATCTTGAATTACCGAGCCCTTGAACCTAAAAATAACAGATAATTCTGTTAATAAATAAATTTAAGAAACACGCGTTTTGATGATCAGTGTACTAAAAACAGCGTATACAAAATTATTTTAGATAAAATCCTTGCTAGAAGAGTTTTAAAATGGAATTATTACTAGAAATATTAGTGCAATAATAAAAATTATTAGATTTGGGAGACTGCTTTATCATGGCTCTGTACTGTCAAATATTACGTTCTTATGCAAATGATGTGAACAGGGCACCCGTTTTTATTTTTTCATTCATCATCATTGACTGAAACAAAACACGGTAGCACGGCCCTGAGCAACATGCTCGCACATCTGGTCGGTTCTTGTCACTCGAAAACCTATCTTCACCATCGGTAATCGGCTTAATGAGCTATTTGACGTTTTAGGTCTGTGCACTCGCTAAGCCTTAAATCTAGCTGGGCCGCGGATTCATTAATTTATTAATTATTCAATAATTATTACTTATTCAACAATTAATTCAATAATTTAATAAATAATTAAATAATTTATTTGTACTATTATATTATGTTAATTTAACTAAAATAAAGTAGAATGTAATTAAATTGAAGTTAAGGTTATAATTAATGTTAATATTGTTTTTGCATAAAGTATGGAAGGCCTAGGGCCCAATTAGAACCTGTGTGTCATTTTTATTTGTTTCTAATAAATTATTATTATATTATATTATTGAAATCCAGCATAGGACATGTATTTTATTGCCCTACACATATTCTTCCGGGTTCGGGTGTTTGTCCATGAGCATTTTATGTATCTGAAACTCCTCCAAGATGCAGAGAATACTCCTTGTTTCAAAGAATATAAGAAAATAGTAAACTATTTGTAAAGTACTTTAGTTTAAACAACGTATAATTTAATTTACCTTGGAGGCCAGGCACGACTTGCAACTTGCGAATCGAGTTTTGGGAAGTATGCCTCCGTAATTGGCTCTCTGAAGTTAGCTCCGTAAGGCACCACCCGGCTCAAATTGTTACAGAAACGCTCAATATTATATCTGTAAATATAATGACATTCTAATTAAAGGTGGGTTTAAGCTAATTCTTTCTCATACAAGTAATTGTGGCAAACGAGCATACAGTCCATCTGTTCAGCTTCAATATGCCAGATGTTTTGTATGTACCATATACGAGTATATGCATACTTCGTCAATCCTGACAAGCATAGCATTATATATTATAGCAACAAATTCTATGCAATGTCAAGTAAAATAAAATGCCTTCTTACCAGTAAAAAGGGTCTCCGGTTTACTAAGCTCACCATATGACACACAGCAGCATTATGCTGGTATATAATATAATAGAATGGTTCTAAATCAGTTGCCAACCCATTCGAGGCGCAGACATAATATTTTATGTCTGTAATATTTTTTTATACCTGGCAATGATTTGCTGGTGCATATAGTAAAGTAACTCCCCGCGACGATCCTTGGCAACGATCGAACGCTCGGCTGATTCAAACGGATACACGAGATGCCAGTGCCAGTGGTGCAAGTTAATTCCTATATCCTCGCGAAAGTATGCCACGCGCTGTTCCGGCTCCTCGTCCGATGCAGTGTAATTAAGGGGGATCACAATCGGCATCTGTACAATACATAATATATCAGTGATTTTTATAAACTACAGTATAACACGTATTACGCAAACACCTCGAATTAGTTCTATTCTGGCAACACTAATATTTATATAGTTATTTTAAGTGCCTGTTGAAACAATAGCGTGCACGACAGCAATGTATAATACCATTTTCAAGCATGCAGGTTGCATATCTTAATAATTAAAAATATTTTTATTTATGCCTATCGCATATACAATCACAAATCCAACAACCCATTAGTTGCCTAGTCAAGTAGCACAGTTGACAATTTCTTTTTTGTTATAAGTCTCAAATAAACATGTAATCTATTAGTCCCAGATCAATATTGGACTCAAATATCAAAGTAATAGCAAACAAAACTATAAATTTAATAGGTAATATGCGTACCCTGGGACCCGACGTTACCACGGTGCTGACCTCTCGGGCACGCCGGAATACTTTAGGGTCCATAAATTTATCAGGGAACGTCTCTGTTATTGTTGGGATGTTAAGGCCTTTTGTGTCGGGCCTGTAAATAAAAAATAATAATTTGGACAAAAGTAACGAGGATGTTTTTTTTTTCTGTTATATAATTTTGCCACGTGAATCTTTATCTGATATAGTTATTATTAGCCTTGCCTAGCCTAGCCAACTTAGGTTGTTATTAGCCGTGTACATACACACACATTGTGTTTAGTGTGCGTAAGCTGCGGGCGCTCGGGAGTGGCGCACAATGTGTATGTGCACGGTTAACAACATCAACAACCAAAGTCAAAACTTCATCGTGAAATAGAATAACCCTACTAGTTTTCGTAACTTTTTTAGCGTATCTAAGTACCAAGTAACTAAGTTTAACCATTACAGTGCAAGAATAAACGATTACCCAATCGGCAATTCAAAATCTAACAGATTACCCAGATACGCTGGACGTTAAGAAGAATAGAGTACTTGCAAGGCTAGGGTTTTCTGTTAAATATCATGCTTTTAAATGAAAGTAAACTTTCAAAATTAGTACCTAAGGCTGATATTCCAAAACTATTCAAAACCAATCCAATGATATTCAAAATCGTTGTGGTAAATCAAACAAAAGAGTGACTTTCAATAAGTATTACTTATAATCTATATCGAATAAAATGTCCCTGTTTCATTACCCATGACTAAAAATCAAGTACACCGATTCAAGTTAAATTTCGAATATTCGAAATTTAAATTTTTGTTTAACGAACAGAATGATGGAGGCCAACCCAACACTGTAGATTCTCGCCTCAACTTTCTTACCTTAATTACTCATTTAATTTTAACTGACCTATGTAAGATAGCGACAGACAAACAGTAGTTAAACATGTAGGGATTTATTCGGGGCTGGCAGTAGGCGCACACGGACAACAGATCTTCTACATCACGCATACCTGTAAACACATTTAATAACTTTAGTAAAGGATAACAGGAACGATAAATATAATATAAAAACCCTAGTGATAAATCCATATTTAATTATATAATAATAAATATAGTAACTATAGAAGATCCACCCACTAGATGGAGTAACGACCTGTTAAGACATGCAGGAAGTCTATGGACGCAGGTGGCTCAGGATCGTGCTTCGTGCCATTCCTTGGGGGAAGCCTATGTTCAGCAGTGGACTTGTGAATGCAAAACCACAGGTACACTCTTTATGCTCTCACTTTCATAGTCCGATGGACAGCAATCCAACAAGATTGGAGAGAGATCAGACGCAGACTTGATGATGACGATGGAATGATCATAATGACAATAATGCATATAGATATGCATAACGAATCCTTTTGACAGTGAGAGGGATCACAGTATATAGACACCCAAGCAGTCTTTGTGCAGCGCGGTTCAAGATTTTCCGCTCAAAAACTCTTTTAAAAATAACAGGAGGCTTGTGTTTGATAATGGGATGTACGTTACTAGTCATTTACTCTCAAGTACATATTATTATATCAATATACGATTAGATATAAAATTTTAAGCGCTAGAGTCATACGAGTACAGCAGCTTTATTATAGTTGTAGCACAAACGGGTTAACTCGACCGGGGAAGGACCACGCTCTCACAGAATACCAGCGCAAAATAGCAGCTTAATTTGTTGTTTCATATGGTGAGTGTAGAGAGCCTGATATTACTGGATACGAGGGATTCTATCCTAGTCCTCAAGGGTGTCAACGCATCTGCGTTTTGATTCGTAATTGAGGATAGATGTCTATGGGCCACATCATTTACTTACCTGTGTACTGTATATCTCATTAACTGTGTACTCGTTTGTGACCCTTATTCTATAAAAAATAAATATTAAATGCCTATATAAAAATTACTATTTACCAATGAAAATGTCGATCAGCTTTCCTGCCATCTGTCTGTGCTTGGGTACAAATAGTGAAAATTGTTCATTGTAAGGTAACTGCATCGGTAGATCGAGATTAGGAAGTGCAATGTTTCGTACTGGGATGGTGCGTTGAGCATCGGAGCCGAATCGATTTACTAACGTGCTACTCAGCGATTTGTACTTATCCGGCTGTAACGAGAAAAAAACATATAATTAATTGAAAAATATCATTGTTATCATTATATAATTTCTTCCATTATATCCCTCATCGCTACCTACTTCATCATTATCATCATACTCTCCATCAGTATTAATTATTTCTTTGTCGATTCTAGCGTAAGCTCAAAGAAATCTTCAGTAATATGGAGTGTAAAAGAATATGCTGCCTTTTTTCTAACCTTACCTGCACGCGATATACTCGTATATAACTCCTGACTATTGAAAGAAACTCTAGTAATCGATTTATGAGGAAAATTTATCGAATACATTTGTTTAAAAAAAAACATTACAGTTAGTACAAATGTATAATCTCTTCGACATTTGTGTTTGTGTAACGTACAACTTAATTATATTGACAAGTGCCTAATGTCTTAATTGATGAGATAATGGGCCAACAATTTTTCTTGTTTTATAATCTCTTTTATTTCATTAAGCATTTCACAATTTGCATAAGGTAGGGAGCGTCTTTTAAGCACCTTAAGGCACTTGTGTCAGAGACTCCCGCTCTTCCATAGCTATACAAAACTTTCTAGAAACATATAATTACATATTATACAAAAAAAAAGAAAACTAAAAAAAAGTATTTTAAAATTATTCAACAATAAATGTGTGTGTGTGTGTGTGTTTGTGTGTATGTGTGTGTGTGTTTGTGTGTGTATGGAATTGTTGTTGGAACAATCAAATCATCCAAGTAATGTGTAAGTATTTAAATAGAGGAAAAAAGAGAAAAATACTTATTTGTTTGAAGAGGAGAATGTATTGGCATGGATAATTGAAATAATATATCCAGCAGTGGTCTTTAAAAAGCTGTCTATGAAAACTGATGTCGACAAAGAATTCCTATCCTTTGTAGTGAGCTTTGAAAATTGCTTATGTGCGAGTTCGTGAAACTTCTATAACATAAAGGATAACAATAGAACATAATATTTTTGTTTGTCTTGTCGGCGGAGGAACGAAGTAATGTTTTATTTTAACATTCAACTTTATTATTTCTGTTCAGTAATAAACCGCAACTCACAAAATTTATACCGAGGCACAATGATCTGCTACGATCGGAGCGCCGGTCACACCTAGTGGCAACATTGCGACGTAATATGCGTTGTAATAATCTGTGGAGTTAAAAAAAGAGAAGAGGAGGGTAGGAGGCGAGACAAGCCATACACATTCTCTTTGTGTTCGTGATGTGAACATCTCTCCAAAAACTTTAAAAAGGGACTACTCCAGAGTGTACCGTGTACAATCTAATTGCTAGTGTATTCTACCGTGTAGAAGAAGCTACCAGGAGCTGTCAACGTTTGCTGATCTTGGGAGGCTGGCTAGTAAGACCGTGAGTAGTTTATTGCTGTTTTTGGTGTGATTTTGTGACTGCGGTAACTGAACGTTTCAGGGGATTTAGAATCTCAATACAGTCCACTATATCTAATAAAATAATCCCAATCCGCCACATTTCTGGCCTTCGAGCCGCATATATTCGAATTAGTGATCTTCGAATAATAATTTTCTACCCTTAATTCGCGTCCCGTGGACGTCATATATTTGAGTAAAACTACGCATTTAATTAATTTAATATCCCTTATTTAATTTGCCTCTTTTTTACCTGGATGTCCATTGCTCGCGGTGCGTTTATAAAGTATTCATTTTGTAATTTGTTCATAATGTCGGATAAATTACAAATAAAAAGGCAAACACTTATTTTTAAAAAGGAATACCTATTTGCTAAATTACAAAAGGTTTTCGATATCGCGAGATCCCAAATAAATGATCCCACACAAATTCAGAATTTCTTAGCCGATTATTCCGAATTAGAAAGTGTCCGCTCAAAGTTTGAAGAAACAGTGTTAAATATTATTGAAATAGATATATCATTAAAACCGGAGACAAGATTATCAACGCGAGAATTAGATACATTTGATGAACTTTATAAAGTATGTAGGTTGCAATATTTAAGATTAAAACCGGACGAGCAGGCATCCCTCAGTAGGAAAGATAGGAGTGATGTAAGGCCGTCATTACCTAAATTACGTTTATTTGACTTCGATGGTGATATTGAGAAGTGGACCACATTCTACGATACATTTGTATCACTTGTCCACAATCGAGATTTCGATGAAATAGATAAGTTTCACTATTTGCTTTCATGTGTTAAAGGTTCGGCATTAAACATTGTTAAAAAATTGCCCATAACAGCCGCTAATTATACTGTCGTATGGCAAAGTTTATGTAATAAATATCAAGATGATCGAATACTCGTGGGTAGGTACATCGACAAAATGATAAACTTTACGCCGTTAAATAAAGATACTACCGCAAATCTTACTTTATTTATCGAAACATTCGATCACTCTTTTAAAGCCATCGAGGTATTAAAAATTAAAAATTTACATGACTATTTATTTTGTCATTTAGCCTTACGTGGGTTGGATGCGCATACTAGGAGGCTTTTTGAAGAAAATCGGGATCAAAATTCACTTCCATCTTTTTCGGAATTAATTAGTTTTGTAAATAAACAAGTTAAAGTACTCGAACATTCATCGAATAGTACGATGTCGTTACAATCAAGAAATAAGTCTATATGTAACAATTACAAAGGCAACAATAATAACCACTACAAAAGTTATTCAAAGACAGTTTTAAATACTAATGTGTCAAATTATAATAAAAATAAAAAAATAATTTGCGCGCATTGCAATCAAAATCACATGATTTATAGGTGCGATCAATTTCGTAAATTGACCGTAGATAAAAGGATTGACCGTGTCAATACCTTAAAATTGTGTCATAATTGCCTAAAAGGAAATCATGATACCTCAACTTGTAAAAGTGAGATGTCTTGTGGTGTATGTGCGTCACTACATCATTATCTATTGCATAGGGAGCCAGTGAGCGACACGCTCGTGCCAACATCCACCCGTCCATTGTGCTCTGACTCGCAAGTGCAACAAGCACTCGTCTCGTCTCAGGCTATGAGTGACTCAGAGCGTTATACGATAGATACGCTTCATTCCAATAACGCTCACTCGGGTTACGGTGTTGTATTGGGAACGGCGCGCGTGTTAGTAATTGATAGTAGCGGCCAGCTTCAATACTGCCGTGCAGTTATTGACTCTGGAGCTCAGAGCTCATTTATTACAACTGAGTGTGCTCAACGTTTGGGCTTACCTCGAAAGAAGTGTTCGTTTAATATTTATGGTCTCGGTGGAGAGGCTGTAAAAAATCACGGCATGATTACATGCACATTAAGGTCCCTACACACTGACCTACCTAGTTTTACACTGAACATGGTCGTAGTGACTAAGGTATCTGCTGATATGCCTAACGTTCGATTCCACTCGGACGTTATTAATAAATATAAGAATTTTAATTTAGCTGATCCATTATTTTATAAGCGTTCGCGTATCGATATACTATTGGGCAATGATATAGTTTCGGAACTAATTAAGGATAAACCTTATATTATTTCATCGGATATACCAAGCGTGATCGATACCGCTTTCGGGTTTGTTGTAAGTGGTAAACTTTATAGCAATGATAAGGACAATTTAAAAAATTATAATTTATCAGTCTCATTTGATGAACAAGAGTCTTTAGATCAAACGTTGCGTAAGTTTTGGGAAATCGAAGAATTGCCAAGCAAACCCTCGATTAATCCTTTGGAACAATTAGCGGAAGACATTTTCGTGGCTCGTTATAGTCGTACTGAGGATGGTACCTATTCAGTGCTGTTACCATTCATACCAGACCCGCCTCCGTTGGGCGCGTCACGAGCGGCAGCCGAGCGGCGACTCTTGTTCACCGAGCGCAAGTTGAATCGTTCACCTGTATTACGACAAGCCTATTCAGAGTTCATGTGCGAATATGAAAATCTAGGGCACATGGAGCTTTATTCGGGGGACACCCCAAGCAAATATGTGATACCTCATCACAGTATACTTAAGCCCAGTAGTTCCACTACTCCGTTGCGTGTGGTATTCGATGCCTCGGCTAAAACGTCCACGAACGTTTCGCTTAATGATATTCTATTGACCGGGCCTAATCTGTATCGAGATATTGGGGCTATAATATTGAATTTTAGGTTGTTTGAATATTGTTTGATTTGTGACGTATGCAAAATGTATCGGGCAATTAAACTGAATCAGTCAGATAGATGTTATCAACATATTTTGTATCGTCATTCGCCTAACGATGCCATTGACGTTTATGAATTAAAAACTGTCACTTACGGCTTAAGTTGCTCACCGTTCTTAGCTATCCGCACCCTCTTACAGTTAGCCTATGACGAGGAAGAACGTTTCCCACTCGCTGCAAAGGTTGTGCGCGAGGGCGTGTACATGGATGACATTCTATATTCTTGTAGTTCATTGTCACAGATATCTCGGTTACAAGATGAACTTTTAGAGATGTTTAATTCCGGTGGCTTTATACTCAAAAGGTGGGCGAGTAATAGTGCAAAAGTTTTACAACGCGTTCCGTTAGAAAACCGAGAGTGTCCTGTTACATTTATGAAAGATGGTAACAAATATTCAGTCAAAGTGCTAGGTCTGAAATGGTTCCCTTTGACTGACTGTTTTTATTTCACAGTAGATAAGACTGATAAAGTAACAACTAAACGTTCTGTTTTAAAATTATTAGCTTCTATTTACGACCCCGTGGGTTTTATTTCACCGTGCATTTTCATCGCGAAAGAGATAATGCAAGATTTATGGAAGCTGGGCATAGGATGGGATGAGCAGCTGCCAACTGACGTAACTAAGCGCTGGCTTAATTACGTTGATGATCTCCCGCGACTAACGGCAATCAAGATAGATAGACATATGCTGCTACCAGAACAGACCGAATGTGAATTGGTCGCCTTTTGCGATGCAAGCTCTCGCGGTTATGCTAGTTGTGTGTATGTGATCAGTCGTAACGATAGAGGTCAAACTAAAGTACGCCTGGTGACAGCAAAATCTAAAGTAGCCCCCGTCAAACCA